AAGGATTCTCCCAAGACAGATCTTTTGACACTGTGGAAGACACGTGGAGGTGAAAAGGAGGCACCTGGAGAAATCACTTTTACTTGTGTTTCTTAACACCACTCAGCTTTGAGAGCCTGTTAAGCAGACAATGTTCCTCTTTTGTTCATGAAACTTCTACCTTCTCTACTGTATGTTCTCATTAGTCTAGACACGCAGCACACTTCCCTTGATTCTACCAATCTTCAAGTCCAAACCCCCTGGAGTCTAAATGCACAGGTCTACCCAAATTGGAATTCTTTCGGCCGTAGGCATCTCCATGTTATCGTGTCAGCAAAGGTGGACAAGTTCATCAGATCACATGGGGAAATCCAGTGATTATCCAGGTCATCTAAGCATACCTGAGGTGTCCTGGAGCCCAGGACACCACTCTGTAAACAGTTCCCCATCCATCTCAAACTCTTAGTGCATTGGCTCAGAAGTCTTGAGCCTTCTCTGGCTCCTTTTTCTATTCTTAAGCTATTAACCCCTGGCAAAGGACTCTAGAAACCATCACTACAACTCCACCTGCCTTCTCCTTGTCCAGGAGCACCCCACCATCCCAGTTATTTCCTCAAGTGCAACGACAACTGTGCTTATAAACAGAATCCAGCCTGAGCCCAAGACATCAAGGCGCTGGCCTCACCTCTCACCTCTGATCTCGTCTAACCTTATTACTCACTGGACTTTTGTCATTCCATACACCCCACAGGCAATCACTCACACCGGCTCCAGATGTGGATACAGAGGTGCCTCTTCAAATGTAAGGCACAGTAAGATTTTCTTTCGGCTTCAAGTTCAAATGCGGAAAGTTTAACTGCAAAAGCAAAGTGGTCACAGTTAAAGGCTTAAAGGATTTGTCATGTCCACACCAGAAACTAACGGCATCCTCAGCATCACCTCAGTTTTACTTGTGATTTTTTTCTCTCCACATACTCAGGTTTATTATTAATTCATTGAGCTATTTCCCCACCCCCACCCTCGAGTCTTATCTCTCCCCTCCTTTATCACCTTCTGCTCTCAACCATTCCTCTTACGGCCTGCCTCCCTGTTTTTTTTGACACACACTCAAAATTATTAGCACGGATGGCAGGCCACTGCTCATCTGCACACAGTCTTAGAAACTGATTGCAGGGCAAGATGCCATTATTGGCCACTCTGTTCTGTTCCCTGCCATCAAGCCTCAGCACGGTCCGTGAGCCACTGCTATCATCATTTCAAATCTGAATTGAAACATCAGTTCCCTGAGGAAGCCTTCCATGACCTGCCCCCAATTAGATATTGTCCCTTTGTTTGGGTTCTCGAAACTTACTATAATGTCTTTCTCTCTATCATTCATGGTTTGCAATTATATATTTGGGCTGGGATTTGACAAATGCCTGTCCCGTGCACAGGCTATATGGGTGTGTGTGTGTGTGTGTGTGTGTGTGTGTGTGTGTGTGTGTGTGTGTGCAGATATGAGTCTTTCATTAACCACTGCTTCACTCTGCTATGTCTTAGTCCATTCTTGTCTCATAATATTGATAAGTGCTAATTCATACTCACTATTACTAATGCTAACTTTATGGTTAGCTTGGCCTTTATTATAAAACCAAGCCTGACTCTAGGTAAGACATTTATAAATCAACTTTTTTTTATTCCTTCACGCATTTTTATTTCACAATCTGTCAAACTACTACTACAACAACAACAACACACACACACAATGATGATGACAGGAAAAAGAAAATAAGAATGAAATGAAACTAGGGTCTCATTAAAGAAATGGGTCACTGTGTGGAGGACAAAAGGCAGATAGTACATGATTCTAATTCAAAGCAGAAACTGTCTGCTGCCTAAGAGAAGCAGAGTTAGCTTACAGCCTGGGGGAGGAGGGAGGTCTCCAGTCCACAGAGGAGGCAGCCTGTAGCTGGCATGCAGATTAGAATGAATTTGTCAGGTGGAGGGAGAAGGAACAGGGTCCTCCCTAGAGTGTCACACACACGTGACTGGACGGGCAGAGAGGGAAGGATGAAAGCAGAGAGGAGGAGGAGGAGGTGGGTGCTGGTTGCAGGAGCTCGGGTGTTCTGTTCTTAGGCCAGTGTGGTCACTGGTGGCCTGTGGGAATAATTAATCTGAAAGGTTTGTTTAGAGGATTCATTCAGCTCTCCTGAGTTTCAGTAGGAATTACCCACTGTGTGGGTCATGTGACCTCCAGCACAGATATTTTCAATGATCCCTGTTTCTGGGGGAATCCAGTGTTTGGGGTGGTATGACTGTACACTGGGTCCTTGCGTTTATACAACAACCACTTTACGGACTGAGCTATATATATCCATGTTGTTCCCCATTTCCTAGAAGAGGGACCCTAACCTCTGCTGCTCTGGCTTGGCATTAGCTGCTGAGTCTCCTGGATTCTCGCTGCCTATGGCTAGAGATTTTGCATTTGCATGCTCACTGTTCACACTTAGTCTTGGTCTCTTGAAGTGAATGGGTGGCTCATCACCAACTTCCACACCTCACTCTTTTCGGTGGAAGATGGGCCTGGCATTTGCTTCATCATCACTTTTACTTTTAAAAAGAATGAGTAAGTGCAAAATTTCACTACAGCAGTAAAAATCTAGTGAGTCCTCACCATGTATATATGCCACACGATTTGTGTGTGTGTGTGTGTGTTATGTTGTTGTATGTGTATGTTTGTATGTGGGTGTGAACACCCATGTTCATGTAGGCAGAAGCTGGAGGATGATGTAGGGAGTCTTCCTCTATTGTTTTCCACCTTTATACCAGGATTTTTCTTTTTGGTCTACTAACCAGCTCCCAAATCACAACACGGAGACTTATTATTAGTTATAAACGCTTGGCTGTAGCTTAGGCTTGTTTCTGGCTAGCTTTTTTCTTCAACTTATATTAACCTGTTTCTCTTAATCTACATTTTGCCTTTGGGGCTTTTTATCTTTCTTTCTGTATGTCCTACTTGGTGTCTGTTGGCTGGAAGCTGCCTAGCTGGCCCTGGGCATCTCCCTCTCTTTCTCCCTTGTTCTCTCCTCTCTTCTTCTTCTCTCACTCCTCTTAAGCCTAGATTTCTCCTCCTATTTATTCTCTCTGCCCATCAGCCCCACCTATCCTTGTCTCTGCCTAGCTATCGGCATTCAGCTCATTATTAGACCAATCAGGTGCCTTAGGCAGGCAAGGTGAAACAAGTACAGCACATCTTTACATAATTAAACAAATGTGGCATAAACAAATGTAACATACCTTACACAGTTAAAGTAATATTCTGCAGCATAAAAAAACGCAACACATCTTTACATAGTTCAAATAGTAATTCCGCAGCATACCTTAGTTTTTGAGACAAGGCCTATCACTTCACCAGCAGCTGGCTAGCAAGCTCCCCAGATCTGTGTTTCCTCCCCAAATGCTGGAGTGGCAGGGACATGCAGTCATGTGTAGCTTGACATGAATGTTGGGGGTTGAACACAGGTCCTCTTGCTTTCACATCAAGTGCTCTTAGCCACTGAGTCACCTCCCCAGCCTTCTAAGCATTATTGTATACATGGAACAACTCCATAACCACAAGAATTTGTGAGGCTTAACTACTACTACCCTCTTGGTTATAGATGAGGAAATAGCCACAAGAAATTTTAAGTAGTATGCCTTTTCATGGAGTTGATAAGCAGAAGAAGCTGGATGGAAACCCCTACAGTCTCACTAGAGTCTGAGATGTACTTTGTGACAACACTCTAAACACTTTCTCTCTCTCTCTCTCTCTCTCTCTCTCTCTCTATATATATATATATATATATATATATATATATATATATATATATATATGTATATACTCTCTACTCATTGTCCCATGTGTAATAATTCCATTCTTCCTTTAATGTCAGCTCTATACTGTATACCTCAATTTGCTGTCTCTGGTTTATTCACCAGATGCTCAAATGTAGCCCATCCCTTAACGGATGTCTATACTACTATGCATCTATATTTTATCCCTTAGCCCTCGCAATGCTGTGCTCCAATTCTGTTCTGCTTCCCATCATGTCCCACCTTCCCTCTTCTGGATAATTACAGACAGCATTTGCTCTTCTGTGCCTCCACTCAGCACAATAGGTCCGTTTGCATTGTGACACTCTGGGGAACAAGCCTTTCATGGACTTGTCTTTCCTCTGCCACTACTGTATGAGCTTCCAAAGACTCAGGAAAAACCTTTTGGAATGGGCAAGACTTGAGTTTAAAAAAACAAACCAGGTAGCTATTGTAGACCTATATTCTTGTGTCAGGCACTCCGCAGTTCACATACGTCCTGTTAAGGAGTCACAACAATCAAGCTAAGACATTTCCTCCTGGGGCTATGGAGATCCAGATGTTACATTTGATCCCCAGAACCCTAGTGAAAGAATTGGGTGCACTGGCACACTCTTTTGATCCTAGTACTGGGGCACAGAGATAGGATGGTTCCTGAGGTACCTTGGTGAGTGTGCCTTGCTTTCTTGGTGAGCTTCAGGTCATAGAGAGACCTTGTCTCAAAAACTAAAATAGGTGGATAGTACCTGAGGAATTGCACCTCAGGGTGTCCTCTATAAATGAATGTACAGGCACTGACACAGGTGTGTACCTGCACACACACATACACACACACACACACACCCCTACCTGCAAGGAAGGATGGGGTAGTCTTCTCCTCATTTTATGGATGAGAACTCAAGCTCAGAAAGTGAAGTTTCCCACAATGGGAAGTTGGTGGAAATACTACATTATTGAAGCCGACTCTGTAGGATGACTTCACCACTCATCTGTTTTCTTTTTTTTTTTTTTTTTTTTTTTTTAAAGATTTATTTATTTATTATGCACACAGAAGAGGCTGCCAGGTCTCATTACAGATGGTTGTGAGCCACCATGTGGGTGCTGGGAATTGAACTCAGGACCTCTGGAAGAGCAGTCGGTGCTCTTAACCTCTGAGCCATCTCTCCAGCCCTCATCTGTTTTCTTAACAGATATTTTTAAGTGCCTACTGTGAGCCAAGCATTCTGTTAAGACCTAACGATGTGTCAGTGCAATAAGATAACCATGACCCATCTGTGGAGAGCTCAGAGCCCTGCAGGAAGACACCTGATTAGTGAGAACACTAAGTGTGATAAATGTCCAGAAAAAAAGATGAGGTAAGTGTGTTCCAAAAGTGGTAATAATAAAAGCCTTCTTTAGAAATATATATCATGCTTAATAAAGCAATTATTCCTTTCCTTTCGTCTTCATTCCTCATCTTTTTTTTAAACTCTCATTATTAAGGAGTTTATTTGAACAACTAAGGGTTTTAATGGTGTGTAAACCACGTAATTGTTCTGACTGCAAACTCTGAAACTATTGATAGGTACCATCTTAGGCCTATAGAAGCTTAGAAAAGCTAGCCATCAATGATATCATGCGATATATGAGCTAGAAACTTCTAGAGGAAGTTTGTGAGGGTCAGTTTCAATCCTACGGGGTTCCCTTTGCATGAGGCGCCAGGGAAATCCAGCTCACAAGCTCTAGTGTGGCAGCAGCAGGCTGTGGGCCCTGAGGACTTTGTGCCCTGGTCTTGTTTACAATTTGTCTGAGGCTTCTTGAGCTCAGCCCAGCCAGATGGACTCTTCCTCTCAAATATCAGACCTGATCTTTTCAAATAAAACAGTACAGAGCACGTTAAAAGCTTTGATCCAACTGTTTACTTTGCATTTGTGTGTGTTGGGGAAACGGGGACAAAGGGAGGATTTATTAGGCCTTGCTGTGGGTGGCCAGTGCAACCACTGGGCATGTGAGAGGGAAGTTTGGGAGGACTCTGTACCGGCACATTTTGGCCACTTGTCAGTATCCGGATGCCTGGTGCTTCCACCAACATCTGTCAACTGCTCTGGGGGCCTCTTTCTTTCTTTCAGCCTTCTTTCCCTTCAAAGGCAAGTTCCCAAAAGAGAGTGCAGAGTTGATCAGTCCTTTCTGTATGTTAGGACAGGTGGGAGCACCAGGTCTGAGGACTCTCCTATGAAGTCTCGCAACATCTCTTGGCGATTCGCTTGCCTTTTCTCAAGTGACCTCATATTTTCAAAGCACCCCGTGTGGGATAACCTATTTTGTCCACACCCTTCTGAAACAGGTGGTTATGCATGCATAATCTCTTTCTTCATTATCTGCCTTGTACAACAACATACGTTCATACTACATGGGCATTTCGCTTCGATCATGAGAAGGGAGAATCTCTGACTGACTCTTGCCATATGACCTCAGAAATTCTCTCATTCCTGCAAAGTAGGTAAAATTTGCCAGTTTAGAGATTTAAAAATGCTGTAAGGTCAGAGAGGCTAGTAACTGATTCCTTGACACTGAGTGTTGATATGCATTCTGATATCACCAAGGGATAGAGCTGAGCTAAGACTTATACTAGGCATGTTGGCCCCGAGACATGTTTAATTTGTGCCTCATCTTCCTGGAGTTGCAGGACTGAGCTTCTGATGGGGTATTTGTCCTCTAAGCACCAGCTGAAAATTCTTTGCCTGTACCAAATATCCAGTGCAAGGACAATCAGTCTTCCAGGCACACTCCTGCAGGTCTGCTCTCCAGGTCTGCTCTCTTGTTTATTGGTGTCTAGTAGAGACTGGAAACATCTCGGAGAAAAACTGTAATGAAGACTTTTGAGATGGAGCAAATGATCAGAACCTACAACCGCCTGGAGCTCAGCCACCTTCCCCTGATCAGGAATGGAGAGGGATCAGAGGAGCTGCAGATCTGACTAACACTCTTAGTCCACACCCAGTTTCCAGAGTCTACAGCATCCACGAGGGCTAACAGACAGTTTTCTTATCGCTCAGCTCTAGGTCTCCCTCCTTGCCTGCCCCACCCAGGCCCCAGATAAAACTGTTGCACGTGAAGTCTATGGTCTTTGGAGAGTCCAGGCAAGGGACCATGGAGAGGAATTTAGAAATTCCAGAACAAACCAGCACCTGAAGCTTAATGAACTGCCATGTTTAATGGAATTAACTGCCTTAAAACAAAAACAGAAACAGAGAAAGAAACAACAGCAACAACAACAAAAACCCCAGAGATTTCTAGATTTTAAAAAGAAATGAAGCCTTTTGGAGAAAAGAGATAAAACACGTTTTTTCATGTTTATCAAATAGTGTTTTAAAATTTCCTGGTTGATGTGTGAGAGTGAGAGGGTATGAGGAGGACTAGGTACTGTAATTAAATTGCTTGTAATCTAACTTGGCTTTTTGTTCCTATTTTCTTCCTTTCTTTCTTTTCTTCTTCTTCTTCTTTTTTGTATCAGTTAATCTGTTGGTTACATTTTCAGCTTTTCTTTGCTTCTGGTTTCATTTTCAGATGAAAAAATGCTAGGCACACAGGGCTGCTGTCTGGTTGCCATGGTGACCACAGCCTATTATCCTGCCTTGTCATTCATCAAGAAAGAATTGCACTTGACAGAGGCAGAGGGAAATGCCTGCAGTCTGCGGCATAGGAAGGGGGGAAAAGAGCTTTTCTTGTCTTCTATATACGTAAAGGCCCTTTAATGCCCGTTTAGTTACATGTTTTATTTAGCATTATTTATTACTTGTAACGCTGATAATTGATACCTGTGAAAATACAACCCCTTCCTTCAACGTATTTAACGTGCAATTTGTCCATTTGCTTTGCTTTTCCCATTTCAGACCCATAACTGGTGTTGCACCCCCACTCTCTGCCACCACAAATACTGAGTCCATTCCAGGAATAGAAACCGCCAAAGGATTACATTCTCCACGGAGAATGGTCGCTGTGAAGGTAGCTAACGGAGCCAGATTTCCCCACTTTCATAATCAACAGTTCCTGCATCTCGCTGTTCCTCAAACTGATGAGTGCAGTGCATGACCAATGAATAATTGAATCTAACTACTGATTAAATTATTTCTCCAGGTGTGCCATGTCTATGAAATACAGTGCCAGCAAAAGAATTCCAAACTCTGGCGGTCTTTTCATGAGATAATCACACATAAAATCATGGTTGTTCCTTTTACAAATTTGAATCTACATTGAATCCATTGTTCTTCAAAGGCATGCAAGGGCTTTTGCTTATTATCTGGCTGGTCCTCATTACAGCCACCTGAATTAATCCAAAATACTTCCAAAAATAAATGGTCTCATGACTTTCGTATGTTGAAACACCCAGTCTTTTGTTTATTTTTTCAACTCTGATATTTTCCACCTCATTATTCAACTCTTAAAATGTCTGTATCCGGTTGGGCCATTTTAAAGAAGTTTGTTGATAGCTTGCTTTGCTCCCTGGAACTGTTTGGTTTCCTCGTTAAGGTGAAGTATGTTGTAAAACCGGCAGCATTCTAAGTTGGGACCTTGAAGAGTGGTGTTTGAACATCTCCTCTTTTGTGTCTGGGATCAGGGAGGAGATGGACAATGTCTATACGTCATCTTGAGTTGGTAACACTGCAGCAGTTAGCATAAGCCATGCCGGTGGGGATTAAACCACACTGCCTTGGGTATGCATGGGCAAGTGGAGAGAGGAACATGTCTGAAGTTCCAGTGCTGTTCCGTCTGAAGAGAATGTCCCTGCTAGAGGGTGAAGGCAGCTAGCACATGCATGGTGTCAAGCGGAAGCACTCTTCCATTATAAACAAAGCAGAAATGCACACAATTATTTGGTCAGTTTGGTATTTGAGATGGTTCAGATTCTAACCATCCTACTACTTCCTTTTTGTCTTGATAATTTTGGCAAGAAGGGGTTTGGGGGTGGAGAGGGATAATTCTGAAAGAATTAAATAATTATAGCTGTCAGGAAATCCATCCAGGATTTTATAAATTCCCACATAACAGTTCAAAATCTCTTGATTTTCATTTCATATGAGCTGAGTCCATTAGAGCATACCTCACAACATCTGTTGAATACCCAGCCATGTAAAAACGCAGGGCCCATGGAATGTGTTTTGTTTGTTTCTGTTTCTTTTCTATCTTGACTTTTAGAGACTAAAAAGTAAGAACAGAGAGAGAGAGAGAGAGGGAGGGAGAGAGAGAGAGAGAGAGAGAGAGAGAGAGAGAGAGAGAGAGAGAGAGAGCTGATACTTTGGGCTATTTCTTTCTGGTTCTCAACTTTTCCTCTAGTGCTGCAGTAATACCACTGTTCATTTCCTGTTAAACTTCAAACCTACCTTTTGATTTTCAAATGTCCCTTAGGCTAATGTTTTCACTGCAGAATGAAATGAGCAGGCAGAAACAATTAAGTGAGCAGATACAGTGAAAATGAACACCGTCCGGCGCTTTCACACAACTGGAATTGGCGAAGGAATCCTGTTTGGAATCTGATCTTCCAGCCAGAGTTTTCACCTCCCTCGTCATTTTTTTTTTTTTTTTTTGCCCACCCCCTAGTGCACACCACTTCCCCTTTCTGGAAAAAAAAAAAAGCTCTAGGCATACAAAGAAAGGCCTAAATACTCGCAGGCATGGGAAATATTTTCTCTGCCTGTTACTAGGACCGGATAATCTCCAAGAAAGAAAATCCACCTAGACATTTTAAACTCTGAATGTCTACCAAAGCCTGTTAAATGTTCACATGTGTCTTCATGAAATTTGTAATACGAATTGTTTACACAGCCCTGATTGAGGGCACGAGTGCCATTAAAAAGGATCTAGTAAGTTTAGGGATGGAAAATTGTGAAAATCAGGACTGTTATCCACAAGGAGAAGTGTAGGTTTTTGCTTTTGTTTTGTATTTTTAAAATAATAATACATGACTCTTGACATTAAAAGGTATTTCAACAACCAAAAGTAAGCTGTTTGAGAGTCTTCGAAGTTCTATGAGGAATTAAGAAGGCAGCAATGAACTGTCCCCAAACAGAGCTGCCCACGCGTGTCGATGGCATCCCTGTTGTTCTATGGGACCTGTCACTTTTTCTGGAGGCACACTGAGAGATTTTACACTGCAGGAGCCCAGCGTTCCTAGTGTGGTGTTTGCTTTGTTCAGATGTTGGGCTGTGATATGAGAGACTGGCTACACCTCTGCAAGGTGATGGTGCTGAGGATGGAGTCTCCTGGTGTGCATCTCAGAAGCCTGCTCTTACAGGAGAGGTGGCCTATGGGACTGGTTCAGTCTGAATTCAAGCTTTTATTTCTTTAGCCCAGATGCAATGGGGAGGTGTCGATGACAGACTCAGAATACAAGCCCCACAAAAGTTAAACCTGGTGGACATCCTCTGTAAAGCAATGCTGCACCCCCATCCTGAATGGGGAAATTGGAAGGCGTCCAGAGGATTGAACTGAGTGGAAAGCATGGCTTCCTTTTCTAATTTTTTTAAAATTAAATCCGCCACTCAGAATTTTCTCAATGAAACACTTCTCTTGTAAAACAAGTCTTTGTATTTTTGCTGTAGTTGTTATGGGGATGTATTTTTAATGCCATGGAATAGTTTAACTCTGAAATAGCAAAGAGCTGGAGTCGACCTGCTGGTAAACACAAACACAGCTATATACTGACATTACAATGGATGTTTTTAACTTGAGTTTCCAGGATAGGGTAAATTTCTTACTCCACCAAATGGCTGGTTCCATGGAAATTGACTTCACATGAAAGGAAACATGCCTGGAAAGAGCAGGCACTTTGTATCACACAAAAAAACAAATACAGACACACTTCCTTCTCTTGGTTATTTACTTTTTAAAAACCTACAAATAAAACACCTAAGGACTGTGGAGATGTGAAGCTCTCCAGTAAGGCATTCTTTCAGAATTTATAAACCAGTCCAGAAGCAGTTAAATAAATGAGTTTTAGGCTGTCTGTGGAGGACTTAAGCAAAATAGGATTTTTCTACCAGGCAGACTGAGATCACTTGATCATCTTTTCGACACACACACAAAGAGGAAAATCTAAATTCTCTCTGAATGAATATTTCAGCATAACATTTAAAGCCAAAATGGCTAGACAGAAGCAAAAGATAAGAGATAGGGCAGGACAGCAGTAGGCAAAGGGTCAGTAAATCTGTGAAAGAACCTATTGAAGATGCCTATAATGTTGCAATTATAAGTGTGCGATTATAATATATTGGTAAAAAAATAAATACTGAAGTGATTTCATGGATCCTGTGAGTCCACAGTGGCTCACCTAAAGAGCTATGCTGAACTCATGATGAGACCTTGTTGGGGAAGATCTTCATGGATTTAATAATGTTAAGGAACTCTCAAGACAGGAGCATCGTTGATAACAATAGGTCCTAAGTCCAATAATAAATTCCTTATAAGAGGCCACAAAGGGATAAGACACACAGAGTGGGAAGGCCATATGGGTACAGAGGCAGGAACTGCCACTAGCCACAAAAGCCTGGGAGGAACACATAGCAGAAAACACCTTGATTTCAGACTTAGGGCTTTTAGAACTGTGTGACAACGAATTACTCTTATTTTAAGACATACATTTGTGGTAACTGGTTAGAATTTCCCCAGGAAAGCAATACAGGGTTATCTGACAATGAGGGTTAAAAAGAGGCACACTGACAGAGTTCAAGGAAGGACAGAGTGACTGAACTCTTAGAAGATGATGCATGGAACTAGATCTCATGAACAACCAAAATTCAGGGACCACTTTTAGTTAGAGCATCCTTCCTCATTATTTACTTCACCAACTCTGATGGAAAATCAACTGCTTCATTCTGCTAGCATCTGAGTTTTCCATTTCACAGCTTCTATCACTTCATAAGGGTGTAATCCCTATCCATATTTACAATCCCTGTGGAAGGATTCTATAATGCCAGTGGGGTCATGTCTATCTGTAAACTAATCAGCAAAGATTAAACCACCAAGATCTTATCGAATATGACCATTCCTGAGAGGACCTGATGAGTGGTGGATGTAAGGGGTATCAGATGTCCATCACCTGGGTTCTTTTCCATCTGTAAATCCTGAGAAGACCTAATGAGTGGTGGATGTGAGGGATATCAGATGTCCATCACTTGGGTTCTTTTCCATCTGTAAATATAGAGCTGTCGTCTTTCTTGAGGACATCAGCACAACACTGCAGAAATAAGATTTGCAAGGCCGTCTAAGCTATACCCCTTATGGGCGGTATGGCATTAGGAAGACATGAGACCTTGGAAAATTCCTTTATTTTATTCTTAAAAAATGAAGATAGAAATGACTGGGAGTGTAGATCAGTGCTAGTGTTTGCCAAGATGTGTGAGGTTCTTAGGTTCAGTCCCCAGCACTGAACAACAAAACAAGAACACTAACAAATAAAGACAGAAGTAGATGTGATAGTGTAAACCTAGCCTTCAGGAGGCTAAGGCAGGAGGGTTATGAATTCAAGGCCAGAAAGGATAACATAGAATATTCTAGGCCAGACTGGGCTATACGGGACTCTGTCTCAAAATAAAGATGAGAGTGGAAATAAAATGAAGAAATAAAGATGGAGTTGTTTGGTAACTATCCTGCATCTAGAAGAAGCTCAGTAATGTTAGTTAAGGATGACCATAGATACAGAGAGCTTGAGTGGACACAAGAGACTGACAGAGTCTGTTACTTTATTTTCACAGATGAGATTTCAAGTTCTAAGCTCCTGAGAAAACCAGGACAGGAATTTAGGTTACTCAACTACCAGATTAGTGTTTCTTTGTTATTTTACAGGATCTGTCCCCATTTCTGTGTGTACAAAATGAGGTCTAATTTGGAAGGTGTCACTCAAATAAGGAAAAAGCATCACTCTTAGAATGGATAATAACAATAATGTTGGACTTTAGGTTTGATAGTGACACAGGATAAAGATGTTTAAAACAAAATAAAAAAAACAAAGTTCAAAGTAATAGGTTGGGAGTGGAAAGGCAAGGGACCAGTTAGGTGTCTGCATCCTACTGCTTGCTCTGGAACTTAAAGGATGCAATTATTTCGAGATAGCATTTAGAACACAGACAAAGAAACCATGGTGACATCAGAGCCCTTTAATTTTTAAGCTGAGTTCTTGTAACTCCACCACCACCACCACCACCACCATCACCACCACCCTGTTTATTTTCCTTTTGCTTTCTCTCATTATGAAACAATATTTGGAAAGGAACTGCTTGGCTCAGTTTTGTAGTGAAGAAAAAGAAAAACAAAAAAGGTATACCTTCTGCAAGCCAGAGTTGGTCCAAATAAGATCAACTCCCGACTGTGTGTGGCAACTACAATCCAGACCATTTTTTAAACTTTATAATATCAACATGGTGCTCAGTGTTTACATTTTAAAGTCTTGATAAGATCAACTATACTTTCAGATTGCAGTGGACCAGAAAAGATCCTGTTTCTTCGAAATTCCATGATCAGAATTGAGGACACACCACACACACACACACACACACACACACACACACACACTATATGTAAGTTGTGTGAATGTCTATCTGTACACACACATCTCTTATAATATGTGGCATTGCTATAAAGGGAGTATGCCTTTGAAAGGTCCCATTCTCATAGCAGTCCTGCTTTAAAAGACTAGTCTGTGTGTGAGGCTATTCCTGCATTTGTAGGAATAGCTCACCATTAGTTTTCTTTATCAATGGACTTTGTGAATGCAGCCAACAGAGGGAAAGGTTGATGTGTACACAATAATATGAAAGAATACTCAAGCAAAAGATGAATTTGGGGCCACTGTACTCTTAAAAAAAATCATGACTAATTCCATCTGTGATTCTGATTACCAAATTCCAAATCTTCCCAAGTTTTGACATGACAAGCATCCACACAGCAGCCTACTACCGCTTGACTAACTCAGAAGTATTTTGCTTTTGTTAACAATTCTTTTCTGCAATGTCCCTTGCTGATCTTGGTCTGGGACAGTCTGTACTAGAGTGACCCTCTGATCAGAGCCTTTCTGAGAAGCTCCAACCTCTGGGTCTGCAATATCTCAATGCAACATCTCAAATTTTATAAATACAATGTTATAATGTGTGATTTTTAAGGAATTTACTTTTATAATGGCCTCTGCAAAATGGATATAGTTCTGGTTCTGTTTTTGCTATACAGCGTCTTCTCTGGTTATATGTGCAGTAAGGATCATGTTTGCACACCTTAGAGGTATTGCCATATGGTCACTCCTTCACTGGCATGCATCATGTGTCTCCTGACTCACTACTGCACTCCAGGTTGTATTCTAGGTGTTTGAGATATATGGTTGCAGAAAGCAAAGTTGACTAACTCATATAATCTATTGGGATATAAAATAAGATCGATAGATATAATCTCATTAACAGAACTTTTTTTTTTTTTTTTTTTTTTTTTTTTTGGTTTTTTGAGACAGGGTTTCTCTGTGTAGCTTTGCGTCTTTCCTGGATCTTGCGCTGTAGACCAGGCTGGCCTCCAACTCACAGAGATCCGCCTGGCTCTGCCTCCCGAGTGCTGGGATTAAAGGCGTGCGCCACCACCACCCGGCTCGTTAACAGAACTTTTATGCAAAGACTTGAGGTCTGAGAGGAAGTCTGACATTTGAATACCCAGAAAGGTTATTCCAGGCAGCTGGAACAGTTGCAAAGTACAGAGGAAAGTGAGCATTTTTGTTGGCCTATATCCTAATTCCTGGGACCCGTGAATTTGACTTTACCCTGTAAGAGGGACATTGAGATAGGATCAGGTTAAAGATGTTACATTGTGGAGGTCACTCTGGATCAGCCAGGTCAGTCCAAAGTCATCACAGGCATCCTTATGCTAAGGACTATGGATAGAGCAGAAAAAGATAGCTTTCCTTAAGACAATGGAAATGCACCAGCCATTTATTATGGACAGTGGCTGGAGTCTACATAAACCAGACAGGACAATATGGGATTTTCTTCTTACTGCTGAATTCCAGGTCTTCCTACCCAACCCTACCTTCCTCCAGATAAAAGCCACTGGGCATCAGGCCTTTGATGTCCAGAGGGGGAGATGAGGAGAGAGAAACAACTAAGGGAACTAAAGAGATGTGGCTATTGTCTTCGTAGATGAAAAGAGGATGCAACAAAAACATGGGACTCAAGAAACCATCAAAAGCAATGAAGAAGACTTTCCAACCAGCATTTGCCCAGGAGCACAGCCCTGAGGATAACTTGACTGAGCCCTCTGAGACCCATGTGTGGCTTCTGGCTTCTAGAGTGGAAGGCCATAGATATGGATTCTTTTAGGCCACCGTGTTTGTGTTAGACTGTTCATCTACAGTCGGAAGCTAATGAATGAGCTCAATATATAGTATGTTCACTCTACTGGTCAGAGAGTTTTCAGATCACATTATGCTGTATGGCTCATACATGCCAGGCACTGAGCTTGGAGTGGAGACTCTGGGCTAAACACACAGTCCTCAACTTGAAAGCTATGATCTCAAAGAAATGACTACAATTTAGCATCTTCAAAATGAGTCAAAAATCTACAATTGAAAGTAAGTACAAAGGCTGGGAGGGCTTAAGCAAGAGGAAGCAGGCACAAAAAGTCCCAAGGGGAGTGATATTTTAACTAAAATGCAATGACTGTTAATAATTACTCTGGCAAAGATGGGAGACGTCATGTTGTAAACATAGGTAATGTCAAGGTCGGAGAGTCAGAAACAAACTTGACATAGCCAGAGAATCGTGAGTAGTTCGGGACTCACTGGGAAGTAAAATGAGATGTGCCAGAAGCTTAATGCCTTTATCTGGATGAGGAATGGCCTTTAGAAAACGAAAGTGTTAACATTGATTTAGTGTTACCACCAACATCTCTTACCTGTCATAAGATGCAGACTTTAGGGATACGGTTTGGAAAGGTTTACTAAATTTGACAGACACATTCATCTAAACAAGTCCCGTCAGTTTTGCTTTAAGGTGAATATGTATTTTGTGGAGAGGATGTTTTAAATAATTTATTTATTTATTTATTTTGACTCAGAGCTTCATGCCGCTTAGGCTGGCCTGGGACTTGCTATGTAGCCAAGGGTGCTCTTCAACTTCTGATCCTCCTGTCTCCACCTCCTGAGTGCTGGGATTACAGACATGTACTATCATACTTGGTTTTATGTGGTGCTGGGGGTCAAAGCCAGGGCTTCACACACTCTCCCAACTGAGCTACATCTCAGCCTCAAGGTTTATTACTAAAATTCACACTTGCCATGCAAAAGCAAGCAATAAAAATGCCATATCAGGTTTATACAAAGAAGTTGGGGAAAAATACTCAGTGACATAAAATTAAGTAGGACCCTGGTAAAAAAAATGAGTTTCACATGCTGATGATTAAGAATTTTAAAAAATACTATAATAAGTATCCATGTTGGGACTGGGAGTATATTTTAGTTGGCAGAGTACTTACTTAGCATGTATGATGCTCTGGTTCCACAAAACTAGGGGTGGTAGTGTACTCCTGTAATCCTAGCATTTGGGAGGTGGTAGCGGAAGGATTTTGGAGACAAAGATCATTCTCAGATACATAGCAAGTTCAAGGCCAACCTGGGCTATACAGATTCTGTCTCAGAAATCAAAATCTACTTTACCTTGAAAAAGACCTGCTGTCATCTTGTAAGGAAGTGAGCCCCAAGGCGGGTGGTTATTTCATAACAACATGGGCGTGCACAGAGATCTAGCACAGATTTGAGGTATTGTGTGTGAGAGAGAGATTTTATATTCCTGCATAGTTGTGTTCAGCTGGGTGAAGTTTCCTGTGTCTCCTAATACTTCTTGCAGATAAAATCATGCACAAGCAAATGAAAAACCCTGCATCAAGCTCAAATTTCTATGAGCTGCATTTTAACAGGTTGGCATTTCACAGCTAATACAACAGCAGGGGCATCTACATAGGGCATTTCTATCGCTCCCCAAAGATCCTCTTGTTTCTGTCTCCATCAACAGCTCTTAATTCCAGGAATAACAGCTGCTCTGGTTTTTAGTCTTGCCCTTTCTGGGCTTTCCTGTGCTGCATGGAGTCATGCAATCTCGTGTGATTTGGACCTGGCTTCTTTTACTCCAGTGTCTTTGAGGTTCCTTCCTACTGTTGCCTTTAGTAATTCCTTTGACAGCTAAGGAGCATTCTGCTATGTGAATACACAGTAATTTGTGTTCCGATATTTCTCATTGGTGGTCACTATGGTAGTTTTCAGTTGGGATTATCCTACTAAAAGCTCCAGTGAATGCTTTTTGCACTTCGGTCTGTCTGTAATAAGTTTTCATTTCCCTTTGGCAAATACATATAAAGTAAAGGTGCTAAATTATAGCGGAAGTATATGGACAATTTTATGTAAAAAAAAAAAAAATGGCCAGACAGGTTTCAGAAGAATATGCATCTCTTTACACTTCTATCAGTAGTTGCTCCACTACTCAGCAATACCTGTTGTGATCTTCCGGCCCTCCTACTAGGTGCCCTGTGGTGACACATTATGACTGCCATGTGCATTTCTTGGATAATAATGTTATTGAACACCTTTCCTGTGCCAAACGGCCATTCATATGGTTTCCTTTGTAAGGTACCTTGCATTCATTTTATTGGTTGTTTAACACTATTTCTTTATATTTCATGCTTTCCTGGTTCCCTTTTAAAAATACGTATATATCCCCAAATCATGAATGTATTTTTTATATCTGTGTGTGTGTGTGTGTGTGTGTGCGTGTGTGTGCGTGTGCGCGCGCGCACCAGGGAACACATGCAGTGTCTGTCCTCTTCAATTTCCACTGTGTTGGAGTCTCCTGTTGCTCACTACTGTGCATGCCATGCTAACTGGCCCATAAGCTTCTGTGGACTCTCCTGCCTCTGCTCTCTGCTTCCCATCTTGTAACACACCACTCTATCCAGCTTTGTGTGCTTCCTGGGGATTGGAACCTAAAAATGCTTCACCCACTGAGCCATCCTTGCTAAAGTCTTACATTTATCACTGCTGTATCATTCGGTCTTTATGACTCTCGTTAATGTTTTCATAGAATATAAGGCCTGAGTTTGGGTTCCCCCCACTTCCTCATCCTCATACAGACAGCCAGTTATTGTGGTATTATTTGTTGAAAATAATGTCCTTTCCCATTGAGTTATTTTAACTCCTCATTTTAAATGAAATCATACAAAATGGGTACATTTCTTACTTATCAATGTACTTGTTAATCTTTTGTTTTGTTTTGTTTTGTTTTTCAAGACAGGGTTTCTCTGTGTAGTTTTGCTACCTGTCCTGGATCTCACTCTATAGACCAGGCTGGCCTCGAACTCGCAGAAATCCACCTGGTTCTGCCTCCTGAGTGCTGGGATTAAGGGTGTGGGCCACCGTCACCCAGTGTACTTGTCAATCTTTAAGACCATGCTGTCCTTCAAACTTCGATTGCTAATATTATAAATTTAATTGATTTTGTGTACTTGATGATAACTTATTAACTTTATATATTTTTTGGATTCCTTAGAATTCTCTGTGCGTATTGTGCACAATGCAAGATAATTTTGCTTTTGTCTTTTCAGTCAGTCCTTGCACCTTTTCTTCCTTTCCTTTTCTTTCTTTTTCTTTGTTTTTTTTGGGGGGGGGGTGTTTTACTTTGTTTTGTTTTGTTTTGCGTTGCTTTGCTTGAAACAGGGTTCCTCTATAGCCCTGGCTGTGCTGGAACTCACTATGTAGACCGTGCTGACCTCCAACTCACAGAGGTTCACCTGCCTCTGCCTCAGAGTGCTGGGGCTAATGGTGTGCGCCACCACCTTGGGTGCCCTTCATTTCCTGATGTTGTCTTCCCGCACTAGCTAGGATCTCCAGCGCAAAGATGGCGGGAAGAGTGAGAAGATGGGCATCTAGTGCTGCTGAGTCCTATGGAGAGGGAACTTGTTCAGTTCGGTATTTGGATTAAATGTGACGTCACCTATAGTTTTGAAAATAAATGTCAGGTTAAAGTTTATATCCATGTCTAATTCCCCGATAGTTACTGTTTTTATAATAACAGACAAGATGATGAAATGATTTGTATTTTATCTTTCCAGTCTGCAGATAAACATAGATTTTATTTTAAATGTTAAAAAAAACCCCACATTTCTGTGAGAACCCCTTATTGCATTGATCTGTTTATGTATTGCTGAATTTGAGTTGATTATTTTTTCCTGTGTTTGTGTTAATGAGAGATATTAATTGGTAGTGTTCATAATATTTTTGAATGGTTTGGTATCAAGATGGTACCTATATTTAGAAATGTTCCATCCTTGATATGTCTAAAAAAGTTCACAGTATATACAATTATTTCTTCCTTAATTATTTGATGGAATTTACCAGTGAAGCCATCCTTGTTTGGAGTCTTTGTTGAAAGGCTTGAAAAGTTTAAGTCAGCCTTTATTTCTTATTTTTGATAATTTCGTACATTAGTACTGTGCTTATATCATTTTTACTCCACCCTCTCCACCTCCAGCTCCTTCCATGTTCTGTCTACTCTCTCTCAAATTCATGATCTCTTCCTCTTGAATCATTGTAGTTGCACACACACACACACACACACACACACACACACACACACACACACACAGACACACACACACACACCACTGAATACACTTACCGTTGCTCATATGTATATGTTTATATGTTTTTAGGGCTGACCAGTTGGGATTTCATAACCTATCAGAGGACTCATCCCTAAAGACTGATTCTCTCTCTGTGTCTCTCTGTCTCTGTCTCTGTCTCTCTCTGTCTCTGTCTGTCTCTCTGTCTCTCTCCTCTCTCTCCTCTCTCTCTCTCTCTCTCTCTCTGTCTCTCTCTCTCTCTCTCTCTCTCTCTCTGTCTCTCTCTCTCTCTCTCTCTCTCAGCCATTAATTAATTGCCTTGTAGCTCTTCATTTAGGGGTGGAGCCCAGTGAGATTTCTTCCACAGAGGTTGGCATTCCAACTGGAACTGCCATTTCTGCAGATCTTGTTTAGGCAACCATATTGTTAAGTTTTCAGGGTGCATCTTTCCTTTCATATGTAGAAGACACAATCTTACAGCAGATGCCCTGGTTCTCCACATCATTATGCCTTACCAGGTACTTTACCTTAGTACAGGCTGCCTTGAATTAAAATCAGCCCACCCCATCACAAGGAACACAAATATTTATCATGCTTTTGTCTCTTAATCTTCACACATTTCCTCTCTACATGGTATAAAAAATCCAATTTATTGTTACTATTTTTTTTCTTTAAACAATGCATGATTTTTATAAGAAATTAAAGAACAAAGCATGGCTTATATTTACCCATGTTGTTACTGTTCTCAGAGATTTTCATTCCTTTGTGTAAATCTGAATTTGAATCTGAAATCTGGTATTTATTTTTTGCAGCTTAAAAGCTTCTCTTATCATTTTTTCTACTGTAGAGCAGGTGTGCTGGTGACACAGTCTTAGCTTTTTGTTTTTAAGAAATATGTTGCACTGTGTATAGAACTCTGTTGGCTGTTTCTCCTTCTGTCATTTAAAATCTGTCAATTTGAGGAAGGAGAGGAAGCCCTAGTGAGTCAAGTCCTGAGTGAATGCTCTTGACATAGGCATGAGGTTGTCAAGGACCCCATAGCCTCAGACACATGGAGAAAATGGGAAATCCTTCCCCTTCAGAGGTAAACAGCGAAGTCTTTCTCAGAGGAACAGTCGTGACTGTTGACAATATGTGCAGGAAATGCCCACCATAGCTTTCCCCCATTGTATATCATGACCTAAAGACTGTTTCCCTATAGACCCTGCTCCTACTGAGATTAACTAAATCTATTTCCTTGATCCATCTGTACACCATAAACCCTGCCTCCTTGTTTATCTATATGTAATAGCCCCACCCCCTTGTTCAACTGTATGTAATAACCCGGCCTCTAATAAACACTGAATTTCTGCGGTGCTGAGGTTTCTTGTTGGAGTCCATCCAATTGAAGCTTTTCTGTATGTTCATCTGTCTGTTTTTTCTTCCTTACTTTGGCTACCCCATCTCTAGAGCTGTTTAGGATCCCTCAGTCTATTGTCTTCTGACTTCAATTGGACACGAAGTCACTAGTTTTTCTTAGGATGCAGTCATTTTCTCTGGCCTTTTAGACATTTTTACTATTACTGATCTTTCCTGTTGAATGATGATGCATCTTAAAGTAGATTTCCCTGGAATTATCCTCTTTGGGATTAATTAAGCTTCTAAGATCTCAGAATTGCTATTTTTCTCAAATTTAGAGAACTCGCGGTGATTTTTGCTTTGAGAAAACATCTCTCTTCTTGGTGCTGCTATTTAAGAGTAAAATTAAATCTTTTCAGAGGCCAGTCAAACCTGACATTTTAGCTTCCCTCTACCTCATCCCCACTTGTTAGTTTGGATAGTTTCTATTTTTTTGTGTGTATTCAAGTCAATTTATCTTTTCTTCTGATGATAACCTCATCCATTGACTTTTCCATTTCATGTATTCCCTTTTCTAGTTTGGCAGAAGGTCTAGGCTTTGTCTTTGATCCCTTCATATTCTTTTTTACACTACTTCCAGTCTGCATTGTTTCTCTACTTGTTATTATACTTTGTGTTTTTCTTGATAACTGAGCATATTGACAGTAGCTGTTTTAATGTTCATGTCTTTTAATTCCATTCCTATCATTACTTCTGGGTCTGTTTCTATTGACTGATTTTTCCTTCTGGCTACAGTCTGTATGTGTGGAATCATTTCTGATTTGATGCTGAGGGCTATAGATCTGAATGTTGTTCAGTGTCTGGATTTTGTTACCTTCTTTAACAGTGTTGAGTTGTATTCTGGAAGGCAATGAAAGAGAGTCATTTTGATTCTGAGTCTTGTTTTTGAAATTATGTTAGAGATGCTCTAGAACCTTCTTGGGAAATAACTTTTCCCTAAGGAATGGCTTTTCTAATTTCTCTAATCAACACTGTGGGGGCTTAATGAGACCTCTACTCTGTGGATGGTTGAACATGGGATGCCCCTTACGCTCCTTCCTCCTTGTTCTACTCAGAGCTCCTCACTAGGTTTTTTTTTCTGTTCCAATCATCTGTGTTCATTTTTTTGTTTTGAGTTGGGCTTTTGACTTCCGTCTCTACATAGGTGAAGCCATGTGCTCAGCCATAGACTCAAGGATCTCTTCTAGATTTCTCAACCTCTTCTTTGATATGGGATGCTGACCAATAAATTATCATTGATACAGCAGTTCCATACTGACTTCTATCTCTTTAGTCAAGGATGACCATAATGTGGTTTCCTGCTCTGGACTTCAGAAAGCATCCCCAGAAGATTATAAAATGGACCCCATTTTGTTTTTTTTTTAAATCCAGTAATCACTGCCTACATTGCCTATTGTTCAAAAATCTTAAAATACCCACTTAATATATTTTGTTTAGTCTAATTTGTGACAGGTAGCCTCATTTGGAGATAAGACCACAAACATGTGGATGTATGTAGGTTAAAAAAAAAAAATGAGGTTTCACTCAGCCATAACTTAGCCTTGTGCTATTTTCTCTCAACACGGAATTTCCTTTCTCTTCAGAAGGTTGTTATTGACCTGAGGTAGAGAATAATTCTGTTTATGGGGACACTAAAGTAGAGCCAATTAGATCCTAACAGCCCTGACAGGCTTTACATGAAAGGCAATGTGAAGTGAGTTTTCTCTTTGGGTTCAAAAGGTTGATTTGGAAAGGACCCTATTCTCAGTATTCGAGACACTAGCTGGAGTATCCAGGTCAATGGAACAAGTGGATCTCTTTCATTCACCTGGACTCATCCATGTTACTGAATAACTAGCTTGGAAGCAACCAGAACAATGACAGAGGCCATTATTTTGAACCACATACTACCTGGTACTACTGTGGACCCGATTTCTATCGTAAGTGGGTCTAGACAAATATATTAAATAAGCAGAACTGTTTAGCAGTGTGTCTTAAGGGTTGTTTTGGTATAAGTTGCGCGTAAGTTTTGTGAATGTTGAGTGCCTAGTAGTAGCCCGGATTTCTTAGAATTTATGCTCAAAACTAAGGTTGTAAGCATGTGACTTTCTTAATAAAATAAATATGAACATTCATTTAGAATTGTTAATTTTTCTGAGCATACAGCGGATACATTTTTATTTTTGGTGGACCAGGGAAGCACTAATGTCAGTGCCTCGGACATAGTAGGCAAGCACTCTACTACTGAGCCACACCTGCGGCCCAACTGTGTTTTCAGGACCAAGTAATATGTTAAGTGAACTATACTAGGCACAGAATGGAGTATATCCTAGAGAAAGCCTATGCCTTGCTATGGTGTAAATATAAACAACCATATTCATTAAACGGTGCATAAATGAAGAGTTTGAGAAACTGCCTTTCAATCTTCCATTCTTGAAACATGGAAGCTATTACACACCCCTTGGAAATGTATCACCTGGCCAATTAGGAAACAGTTTCCTCCAGAAGTGAAACTAGGGCTGGGGGTGTAGCTCAGTGGTAGAGTGCTTTCCTAGAAGCTTCCAAGCTTGGGGCTCAAGTCTCAGCATAGAGAGTGGAAATGAAGCTTAATAGTGTTGCTGCGTATTATACCTGTTGGCCTTAAAGTCAACCTTGGCTGTTAATGAACACCATGGGTTTGTTTCAACCCTTCTCCTCCTCTTCATTCTCCTCCTTCTCCTCTTCATCCTCCTTGTTCTCCTCCTCCTCCTCTTTATCCTTCTTGTCTCCTTCCTCCTCCAACACCTCCAACCCTAACTTCATTTACCTATGTAAGGGATGAAGGAGTTTTACTGTCAGGAATAGTTTCCCTTAATAACACATAGATTGGCTCTCAGTCAGTGTGTCTCTCCTAAGCCTCCTTGTTAAGTGCCTGGTTAAGTTTCCACTTCAGTGTATCACATCACATACACCTAAGGATCTGAACAGCAGACTACAAGACACTGAAGATTTCTCATCAGAAGCATCTGTCAGGTTCTTAATATTTTGAAGGGATTCTCAAAATTAAAAGAGAACATTTATTCTCATCAGCACTGGAACCTCTGTCTTCCTGTAGACAGGAAGTAAAGTACACTGCCTCCTAGTCACAGGCCTCCCTGACAGGGCACCTGAAATGTAAATGAGAAGCAAACACTGGTCATTTTCTGTGATCCTTGTAAAACTAAGTAAAATCCAAGTTGAATCAAGTAGTATTCTCAATGCAAGCATCCTCTTTTATCTAACACTATAGCGAGAAAACAGACCTCCTCAAATTGCATGTATGTCTGGTCTGGAGGAAACTTTCAACAGATGGCATATTATAGACAAAATGAACATGTGTCTTTAGTATTTAACACTTACTTTATGGGTAATTAGGTCCAGATTTTTTCAAATATAGTCATAGGTATATTAAATATAACAAGTATAGATGAAATATATATCCTTCCCTTTTATTGTAAGTAAAACAATAGATGTAATATACTATTTCCTTTTATATTAAATATAACAACTTTAAGAACAAATATATGTTCTTTCTGAAATAATTCCATGATATCTGAACATACATGTATATATACATAGTTGAAGTGTGTGCATACATGCATGAAAATATAAATGGGTGCATTTTAAAATTCTGCTAAATATTTGTTTGTCCTTGAAGCTCATATATCCAGGATACGTTATCACAAAATGAAAGAAATACAGTTAAGTGAAATGTAGTAGTTTTAGTAGACAGTTTCATTTGTATGATTTCATTTAGCTAATTTTTTCATAAAATTGACCAATTGTTTTGACATCAGATAGACGTTTTGAAGAAATGTGTTTGCTTATAATTGTTAAGTGATTAACTTTGTAAGTAACATATGTTAATTTTATATTTTAAACATTCTGGACTCCTAAAAGACAACTTGTGAAGTTATGCATGCTGCTGTCGCATAAGGACTTCCTGGAATCAGTCAGAGCAAGATGGTAGCAGCACAGGTCCTTAGGACAATGAGCAACAGAATTACTCCAGTTTCATGTACAGAAGAGAGCAACCTTGAGACCCCCCAAAATCCATAGGTCCGAAGTAGGTAAAAGCTATGTAAAAACATTGGAATCAAGTAAGTGTAACATTTTCCTTTGGGGATATTTTATTCAGAAAAATAAAGATATTTCCAATAAAATGAAAGGAGAAGCTGACAGGAAAATCCAAACATGTTTGAAAATACCTGGATATAACTTCAAGAGTGGCACACACTACACAGTGTGCAGACACACAGAAGACACATTGTGTCCATTTAGGTTCCCGTCACTCATTTCAAAAATTAACATTTCGATAATGTTCTTTGATTTTAAAAGTATTATCCCTTAGGGCTGGACGAATGGCCCAGTGGTTAGTAACACTTCTCTCTCTTCCAGAAGATCTGAGTTTGCGTCCCACTGTCCACGTTGGATCCCTCACAACTTGTTGTAATTCCAACTCTAGGGGATCTGACATCCTCTTCTAGCTTTCCGGAGTACCCGCATACATGTAGCACACACATACAAAGACAGGTACACAGGTATACATGTACCATACACATACAGAGACATATATACAAAGAAAAGAAACATTTAAAAACACTACTTATCATAAATGATATTCTAATTTGCATAGCATCTTAAGTCACATAGAAGCTATGAAGACATATTAGAGTCCTTTTACTTCATCCTCAGTCCATAGCAAACATAGTCCGGGCTCAATTAAAATATTTTACTTACTACTACCCTACAGACAGTATCTATAAATAATAGTTTTCAATTAATTTCTACCTTCTCATTTTTAGGAGCTGCTCAACACTGTTAAAGTATAGTGATTATTATCAGTATTTGTGGATATTCATATACACATATACCAGGCATCCATATTTGCCTAGAACTGAGATATCTTCTGTATATGTGACTGTATATGAGTCTGAAATCCAGGAGCTTCTTAACAAATCAGGATGGAGGAGGATTGGATACTCCTGAGTGAAGGATGCTACCCGGACTGTGTGATACAGGTGCAGCCATGTTTACTGAGGGCTTAAATGTTGAGCATGGTGCCCAACATTCAAGTTTTGCCTTTTTCATTTAATCCTCATGATAGTTCCTGGTGGTAGGTGCTAAATTATCTTCATTTTAGAGATCAATACATAAACTGAGGCATAGTCAGTGTAACACAGACTTAACAAGTGTACATTGAATAAGCCACAATATATGACTTTTAGTACATTTATGTTTGTCTTACACTCTTGCTATAGTAAACCGATGTAGCATCATTTTATAATAGGCTTGATAAATACGTGAAAGAAAGGCAAAATTTAAGGCTAACTGTTGCCGAAGGGAAGGACCAGTCTTAGTAATAACACTCCTTTACTCCAGTGAAATTGACTGTTCTTACGAAATGAAGATGAGTGAAGGTGAAGGCTGGAGAGAAAGCTCGGAGGTTAGGAGCCTTTACTGCTTTTGCAGAGAGCCTGGGTTCACTTCCCAGTACTCAGGTTGGGTAGCTCACGACTGTCTTTCCCTCTAGCTCCAGGGGATTTGATGTCCTTGTGTGAGGGCGCGAAAGAAAGATAGATCTACATGTAAAACAAATCTTTCAACTGAAAAGCATATCTTTCTTGAGGGGAGGGCCTGGCGGATGGGCGGGGAAGAGAACTCAGGTTCAGTGAGTCATGGAAGTGACACTTGCAAGTGATGAAAAGGAGCCATGGGAGACTGGAGGAGAGCAGCAGGCTGAGGGCGGAAGTACGTGTGCTCCTCTGCTGTACACAGGCCCAGTGCTTTCTGAGTTAGAATGCTGTGGGCTGGCTCCTCTGCTGTTCAGCTTCCCCTCAAGACCTAGCAGGAGCTCATGCTTTAGCTTGACAACTGAGGGCTTAATGCTACGTACGGGTTATGAATTATTCTGTATGAGTGGTTTTCAACCTTCCTAAGGCTGCAACCCTTCAATACAGCTCCTCATGTTGTAGTGACCTCCAACCATAAAATTATTCTCAGTGCTACTTCATAACTATTTTTTTCTACTGTTATGAATTGTAATGTAAATATTTTTGGAGACAGAGGTTTGCCAAAAGGGTCACGACCTACAGGTTGAGAACCACTGTTTTAGATGACTACTTAATTGGGTAGCAGAGCTGGCAAGAAAAAAATTTAAGAGCTATTTAGTGTATTTAATTTGACATATAGTATTTAATTATGTGTATATGTGTGTGTGTGTTTGTGCATGTCTGAGTACAGGTGACCTTGAAGTCCAGAAAGAGGCTGGATGCTAGTACCATGCTCAGGTCCTCTGCAGGAGCAGCAACTTGCTCTTGACTGCTGAGTCATTTCTCCAGTCCCCACAAGAAAACATCCTTCATGGAAAATGGAGCTTTTCACCCTCAAGCCTGATAGAGGCTTGACCCCACCCTTGTATATGGAGTTCTGCTCTCTGCCATGGCTGTCAGACTATCAAACATAAACAGCTAAGAAATGGGTTTGAGGAAACACTGAGCTAGATTAGCTTTACCCGTCTCTCCTATTCCTTCAATATACTCAACCAGATGACTGATATTTTCTAGGTTAAACTACAAAAAAAACAAAGGAAGTAATAAATGAATAAATAGAATATGACAGATGTAGTGGAATATTCTTTTTTTTATTTTTTTTTAATTTTGCAGTACCATTCAGTTCTACATATCAGCCACGGATTCCCTTGTTCTCCCCCCCTCCCATCCCCCTCACCTTCCCCCCAGCCCCCCCCCCCCATTCCCATCTCCTCCAGGGCAAAGCCTTCCCTACAGACTGAGGTCAACCTGGTAGACTCAGTCCAGGTAGGTCTAGTCCCCTCCTCCCAGGCCGAGCCAAGCAATCCTGCATAGGCCCCAGGTTTCAAACAGCCAGCTCAATTCTTATTGGCATATACTCATTGCACACAGTGGATTTCATAAAGGCATTTTCATTCAGATACATCATATTCTTTGACCTTATTCCATATTCACTCCCCTTTATTCTCTCTTATCTTCTTCCACACTTCTGCTAGTCTCTTTCCTTTTCCCAAATAGTCCACTTTCTATCATCATGTCTCACACACACACACACACACACACACACACACACACACACACACACGTATATATGTAGTAATCTAGGATCCATACATAAAATAAAACATAATATTTGTCTTTCTAAGCCTGGCTTATTTTGCTGAAGATAATTTTCTCCAGTTCTATCCACTGTTCTGATGACACAAGTCCATTCTTCTTTATGGTTGAATAAACACATGGTGGATATACACCACATTTTCCTTGTCTGTTCATCCGTGTTTCCAAACTTGGCTAGACACAATGAAATAGGACTCAGCATCGAAGAAGAAGGAAATTCTGACACACACATGAATGAAGCTGGGTGATATTATTCTAAGTAAAATATGAAGTCAGTTACAGAGGGACAGATCCTCTAGGACACCATTTGTATGAGTTGCTTGTCTTGGACACATTCATTGAGACAAGATGAAACCAGCTGCTGAAGGATGAGGACGTAGGAAGTTACTGATTCCTGGATACTGTGTTTCAGCTAGAGAGGCAGGAATTTTGGAGATAGTTGGTTTGGTGGTAGGACAACAGTTAGGATACATTTAATGCCAATGAACTGTTCACTTGGGAATGGTCACGTTACATGGATTTCACCGCAGTTTCAAAGAAATAAGAGAAGAGGAGCCCAAGTCTTCAAGTGCGCACTGTCACTGTTTCCAGCTTGATCTTCTTCTGACAACGGCTGGCTAAACAGTTAAGCAACTTCCTAGGTGGGCTGGGTTTTCATTACTGTTGTTCGTTTGCTTGTATTTTTGCATTTCTCATCTGTAAAATGGGAATGTGTTGGGGAGGTCTTCTTACGAATTTTTTTTCTTTTGAAATGGCTTTGTTTGTCTTCTCTTGAAACCCAAGTGATTAAGACTGTTTCGTCTCTTCTCTATCTGCTTCTCCAATCTCAAAAGGTAAGAGTGTTTGATCACAGACCCTGAACCTGGCACAGGGTCAGACTTGACCTGCGGCACTTAGGCACCATGGAAGGTGGCTGCAGGGCAGGGCTAGGTAATGTAGAAGCTCCACTAAAGCTCACACATGTGTCCCCTCATGACCAGGACAATATACAAAGAGCCTTCTCTTCCCTGCTGAAAGACTAAAAAGAGTTGGTGTGTTAGTTATATTTTGTGTCTGTGATGATACATTTATGGAAGAGTTTCTTTGGGCACATGGTCCGTAATAGCTGTAGGTGGTGTCTTCAACCATGCACAGTGAGCAGAGCAGTGGAAGTGGGATTAGCTGTAAACTCTCAAAGTCCGCCCACAATGACTCGCTCCAGCGAGGCTCTGCCTTCAAAGGCTTCCTACAACCTTCCAAAATAACACCACCAATATGTGAGCCTGTGGGGAGCATTTCTTACTCAAACCACCACAACGGGGGATTCTTTTGGAACTACTGATTTTACTCATCTGACGTATTTTACTTTAAGAAAAAAAATCAGTTGAAGTCTCTGCAACTCCATCCCAGAGTGATGCTTGGTTGAAAAATAGAAGCAACTAGTGAGGATACAAAAGATATTGGTTAGCAATTTTGGAGCTAGGAAGGTGTGATAATACATTTCTGCTATGCTATCCAGTAGCTGTGGGTTCTTGTCTATCATGTAACTAGAATTCCCTTTTTTTTCTTTTGAGGCAGGATCTCACTATATAACCACTGTGGGCCTAAAACTCACTAAGCTGACCTCAAACTCACAAAGATCTACCTGCCTCTGCCTCCCAAGTTTGAGGATTAAGGTCTTGGCCACAATGCTCAGTGTAGCTATAATTCTTAAGCCTTAATGTTCTTCACCGTATACTTGCTTGAGAGGTGTGGTGCTGACTTCATCAAGCCTTAGAGCGCCCAGTTTATAGAAAGTATTCAAATTTGGTAACCTACATTCATTAAGGTTGTGGTCCCAGTAGGAAAATGTAGGCAGAGAAGGCTGCATAAAAATGTTGTTGATGGAAATGTAAATAAATACAACCATTATTTTGAAAAAGAACATGTAGAGGCATGAAAAA